TAAGACAACGACTTTTGAATTACTGTAATCGGACAACTGAGCTATCCGGAATCTCACTTCTCTCTCTCTCTCTCTCTCTCTCTCTCTCTCTCTCTCTCTCCACTTTTTCTCTCTCGGGTTACTGTTCACAGTTTATTGTAGAACCGAAAAAAATTACAGGTTTCTCATGAATAATTTTTTTTTATAAAGGAATTTTATTTTCATGTCCTCCAAACATATTCCTATTACAACTAGAACCTCCAAATCCTCTTCTAAATAGAATTTTAATTCATGTGGACCTCATGTGGGTCTTATCTTGGTCTGGACCCACAATAGAACTCGCCAAGTCAGGAGAAACAAATGAAGTAGATAATTATAGATTTATATATTTTCTGTATTGTTCATTTTGTTTCTATTGATGCTCTAACTGTTTGAATTGATTGTACTAAGTCCACTAAGTTTATAATGTTTGCTAACAAGAAATAGGTACTGTCGCATAATTTTGGAAGATTTGAACATGACTACTCGACTAAGGGCCTGTTTGTTTGCACGGAAGTAATTGTGAAGTAGCTGAAGTAAATGAAGTAGAGACTACTTCTGCTACTTCCAAGCAAAAAAATGTGTTTGGTTCTCTGAAAAACTTGCTTCCAATACTTCCCTAAATGCTTATGTGGCGCCTACGTGTCATCCTTACTTCCAAAATATTTTTCCAATCCTCAATACTCAGAAGTAGCTCGGAAGCAGTTGAAATGCATATTAATTATGACATAAATAATTTTTTTATTAATATTTCCTTTATTAGTTACTTCTAACAACTTTTCATTGATAAAATTACTTCCTAATAATATTTTCAAATGTTATCCAAACAAAAAAAGTAAATGAAGAGGAAGAAGTTCTACTTCCATTACTTCTAAAAATATATGAAACAAACAAAAAAAATGCTATTTCCACTACTTCCTACTTCATAGCTTTGAAAGTTACTTCTATAACCTACTTCTTACTTCTAATACTTCCATTATCTAAACGGGCCCAGCATAATCAAGAAATAGGTACTGTCGCATAATTTTGGAAGATTTGAACATGACTACTCGACTAAGCAGCATAATCAAGATGAGACAGATAGTATTGATCAACTTGAGGTTTGTATTTAGTTAATCTATGTATTTAATACAAAATCTCCAAATGTTAGAACATTTGATCAAATACATTATTTGTTCACCGGAATATTTTTCCTTTAGGATTTTTTTTTCACTTGTCTAATCTATGTATTTAATCAATTTGCGATTTGTATTATTATGTGTGTAAATAGCGGTGAGCTTATGTTATAGCTTATCTATTTCGTGCAAGAAGTTCGCGTACGTTTCAAATCCAAGTTGCATTGATAAACAAAGATTAAAACGATTGGCAAAAGAAGTCAAACGGATTGATCATTGCAATACTTTTTAAAGAAATTTCATGAAAATAAAAATAAAAATTCATAATTATCGTGATTGTTCTCAGGGCATCTGACACCACCCATGGATCTAGGAAAGCAATACCAAAATTATTTTGATTCTCTTTTTAAATATCTAAAATTTTGTTATTCATTTTTATCATATAATCATCACCACACCATCATGAATGGTCCTCTCATTCCTCACACTAGTAGAAAACTGGGTATTGGCGACGGGGTATTGGTGATGGATTTGAAATCCGTCGCCAATACAAACATTGGCGACGGACCATTGGCGACGGGGTTGTTCCCGTCGCCAATGTTTGTATTGGCGACGGATTTCAATCCGTCACCAATGTTTTCCGTCACCCATAACCTTTGGCGACGGGACAACATTAGCGACAAGTATTGGCGACGGATTCAATCCATCGCCAATAAGTATTGGCGACGAATTCTATCCGTCACCAATGTTCCGTCGCCAATACTTATTAGCGACAGATTTAATCCGTCACCAACAAGTATTGGCGACGGAAATGATGCGTCGCCAATACGTATTAGCGACGGAATTGATCCGTCACCAATGTTTCGTCGCCAATACTTATTGGTGACGGATCGAATTCGTCGCCAATAAGTATTGGCGGCGAATCGAATCTGTCGCCAATAAGTATTGGCGACGAATGTGTTCTGTCACCAATGTTTCATCGCCAATACTTATTGGCGACAGATTCGATCCGTCGCCAATAAACATTGGCGACGAATTCTATCTGTCGCCAATAAGTATTGGTGACGAATTCTATCCGCCGCCAATGTTCCGTCACCAATACTTATTAGCGACAGATTCTATTCGTCGTCAATAAGTATTGACGACGAAAATGTTGCGGTGCCAATACATATTGGCGACGGAATAGATCCGTCGCCAATGTTCCGTCGCCAATACTTATTGGCGACGGATTGAATTCGTCGCCAATAAGTATTCGCGACGGATCGAATCTGTCGCCAATAAGTATTGGCGACGAATGTGATCCGTCACCAATGTTTCGTCGCCAATACTTATTGGCGACGGATTCTATCCGTCGCCAATACACATTGGTGGCGAATTCGATCCGTCGCCAATAAGTATTAGCGATGGATTCGAGTCGTCGCTAATGTTCCGTCGCTAATACTTATTGGCAACAGATTCGAATACGTCGCCAGTACTTATTGACGACAAATCAAATCTGTCACCAATGTCCGTCGCCACCGTAAAAAATTAACATTAGTGATTGATTATCCCATTGTTAATGAGTGGCCCTACAAAAAATTAAGAATTATTTTAATATTAGTCCCTCAAATCTATAATATTTTAAATGTAGTCCAATACTATTTTGTTCCACGCAGGTAGATGATAGCTTGAGAGCTGAGGACGTGAAAGTCTACTATGATCCAGGACAGTTGTTTGGTGGCCTTCTCAAGGGCCCCCTGCTCCCCTCTAGCGTCATCGTCGAGGAGGCTGTAGCCGCAACTTTGTCGCTGGAGGCATGTCCCTACTTTAGGGAGAAGTGATATATACTTCCTGAATTTGAATTTGCTTGTAGAACGAATCTAGTAGTTTTCTCGTTAATAAATGAATGGAATTAGTGGAAATACCTTTTGCTTGTTTAAAAATTAGTGGAATTAATAAGCAATATAAGAGGGTGGTTTTCTAGTCATATTTTTATACTTTCAAGAAAACCAATCTAAAGATAACCACTAACAGGTAGAAAACTGAGCATTGACGACGGGGTATTGGCGACATATTTGAAATCCATCGCCAATACAAACATTTGCGATGGAAAGATATATATGTTATCAGATTCTTATGTTAAAATATTTTTAATTAATTAGGAATTCTATGTTAGTTTTTAAATTTATTTATTTTTATTCTTTATGCTAGTAGATTCGATGAACTCCACTACTCTGTGCTTCATTTATGGATGGACTTGACCCTGTAAACATCATTAATGAATCTGAGAGGAGATAAATTAGATTTAATCACTAAAAACCGGATGAAAATAGTTTGGATAGAGTTCTCTTGGAGTTTTTTATAAGGTTAAGAGGAGAAAGAGCCGTCAAAATTGAGTTCGAGCGAATATGATATAACAGGTCCTATGTTCGAACTCTTGGATCGCCAATACTTTCTTTTTTTTGAAATTTTTACATATATACCCAAGCATTGTATATATTTGTAAATACCCCCCAAAAGCATCATTTTACTAATTTCCCCCTCTAAATTGTCTTTGCCATTTAAGCTAATGTCTCAAATTGAACGAAGATTTAATGACCAAGAAAATCGAATACATATTTGGTTAATTTCTATTTGTTTATGAGTTTAATAACTAATAGCTATTCATTTATTGTTAAATGAGATAGCGAATCAAATTTGATCGAATAGCTAGATGAATAATAACTAAACAATTTATTGATTATTTGGTTCACTTCCACCCCTACCTCTAGGCTCATGAAACACATCTACGTACTATTATTGTTTAAGACGCATATATTGCTATTGTCTGAGAAAAGTTATTCCTAGGTATTCTACCCCGATACTAATGCTGTAATAATTAACAATATGGTTTGTTATACATAAATTAAAAGTCAAGGGAAACTAGTAATAATAGTTAGATTTAAAAGAATATTTCTTTAAATATAACTGGTGTTAACCAGGGGACCTAATAGTAAATATTGTGATGATTTGAGGGATGTAATAGAAATTTCCATGATTTGAGTGAGTAAATTTGAAATATTGAAGATAGCCAATCGGACTAATTTTAAAACGGGTTAACTTATCATACCAGAACTTATCATACCAGAACTTATCAACTAGATCCAAACGGGTTAACTTCTTATAATTAAAAGTCAAGGAAAACTAATAATAATAGTTAGATTTGAAAGAATATTTCTTTAAATATAACCGGTGTTAACCAGGGGATCTAAATCCCTTGAAACTATCATCTAGTTGCCGAAACGGCCTATCAAATTTGACAAGATAGCATACATGCATCTATTCATACACTAATGATAGACAGATCGATCACAAGCATGTGAATGACACTGCAATTTATTATTAAGCAACTGATACTAAACTTGATTTGCACCATGCTTAATGGAGAGTTGTTGTAAACTTTTCCTACAAAATGACAAATATATGGTGAAAGAGATGTCAACTTCCTACAAAATCAGACGATTACCTTAACATACCCTGGATGCACAAATTGTGTGCGAGATTTACAATGTTGTTATAAATTACCAACTTTTGAGGGGCTAAAATATAAATATGAAAGACCTAATTATCTAAACCTAAACGTTTGATTATTCATCTCCCAAACCCTCTCAGTACCCGCAGTCTCTCCCAAAGCCCAGATGCTCGCTCCCGTCCCCTCGAGCGCGCGGACCCCGCCGTGGAAGCCAGCCGTCCTCCCCAGAGCCTGACATGCCGCCGGCCGGTTTCCTTGGACTGCCGCGACATCTCGCCCCCCTCGATCTGCGTCTCCCCGCCTTGACCCGCCCGACGTCCCCCACACATCCTCCGTCTCCCCGCCCGTTGGATCTGCCACGACAAAAAAGCGCGCCCTCGACGACCCGCCGCCGCACGCCGCCCTCGACCAGCCAACCCGCCGCCCTCGACCAGCCGCTTAGAGAGGTTTTTTCAATTTTTTTTAATAAATTATTGTGTTATTGCTCATATGGATTTGTTGTTGTATCATTGATGTTGTAGATAGGTATTTCCTCAGTTGAGTTATTTCCTGCAGTTCCGCTTAGAGAGGTATTTCCTCAGTTGAGTCATATGGATTTGTTGTTGCTCAAATGAATTTGATGTTGTTGTTTTGTTTTAAAGATGGGAGTCATGTCCCATGTAAAAACATGCTGAATTTGATTTTTCTCCTCAGTTGAGTTAGACCTTATTGCTGATAAATTCATTTATCCATTTTATATATATTTCATATCACAATAATTTGTAGCTTTTATATTTTTCATCTTTAACAAATAGATAGATATTTATTCACAGAATACGTACGCATCCGGTATGCATATTCAATTTTTGTTTTAAGTAAGTTGTATATTTGATATAAATATGCATTATATTTACTATTTTGTTTATTTATTTAGGATCGTCCTCACGACCATCTCGGAGTCAGTTATCTCTACATGGATCCTCACCAATTGAAGGTATAAAATTTGCTTGCTTTATTCAGTTTGAACTTTCTGTGCATGTAATTACCTTAATTGATAAATTTATATGCTCATTTCTTATTTTATAATTTGTTAGATATTGCGGTGACATCTCAAATGGGTACACCGCAACATCAAGACGTATTACCAAGTATAGGTATTATACATTTGTAATATATTTTAATGTAATGTAATGATATTTTATATTCCTAATAAATATTTGCAGACAATGCTTGCGATGGATCTGGTGATGATGAGATCGAGCACGAGAGGATGTCTGTATCTTCTCAGTCAGAGATGGCATGTCTCCGCCCATGGACTCCGTCAGTATCTCGCATCCCTCTACCAGAAAAAGCTATTGAATTACAAAAAAAATGTGATATGAACTACAAATTGAAGAGAGATGATATTAAAAGAAAGGAGCGTGCCATAAAACAGAGACTAGATAAAGCTATGTCAGATCTAATGAGGGAAAAATGTAATAATTTCGTTTAAACTTTGGATAATTTATACTTATTTGCTTACTTAAGTGTATAAGAAATTTATTTCTCTTTGACTTTGTAGGCCAAAAAGATTATGAGAAACCCGGTAGGCATGGGAGTGAGGAAAAGACGAAAGTACCTCCGAAAGGGTACCGGGGCATTTTGGAGTGGAAAGACAACATTCCTGTTGGGGATTGGGCTGTCAGATTTAATAACTTCATTGGCTATTTAATAAGAGATCCACGCTCTATTAATATTGCTCATAATTTTGAGGAGCAAGAATTTAAATGCATAAAAAAGATTTGGGAGAAGTTCATGGTAATTATTTAATATACTGCTGCTTATTTTGTTTACAACTAGTTGGATTGCACGTGCAATGCACGTGGTTATTTTTTTATTTTTTATTTTAAATTTTTAATTTTATTTATAATTTTTTGTTAAAACGTTATGTAATTTAAGTAATTGATAAAAATATAGACATAATCTAAACATTATTGTATTTAACTAATTGTACTTCTGAGTTGATGTCGGACCATTCAATGGTTTTGGAGAACAATCTCCTGATTGCACTGATGCATGCATTTCTAGTATGGTCTTGTCCAATAAATTTATAGAAGCTACATTTGTTTATATTTTCTTCTTGTTTTTTTTAAAGCTCAATGGCTTACATCATAGAAACTTTCACAAACATAGTACGAAGTCTACAAAATTTTAAAAAAATTGCTTGTTAGAGGGAATATTCTTGTTTTTTTCATCAAGCAAGTTATTGTCTTATTGATCACACAGAAACTACTATTTGTTATTTTTTATTTTCCTACATGGTCATAAACAAGTTGCTTATAGCAAGCAGATTTAAACATATGTTAGAAGCAGTATTATATGATAAGGTGCTAACGTGCAGGATGTAATCTGCCCTTTGCTACTTCTTGCTGGACGACACCTAAAACCATGCATGTGAGGATTCAGGAAAGGAGATCAGATGCATATGCATGTCTACATGGCAATTTGATATTTGAGACCACAACACACTTGCAGTAGTCAAGTCTATGGACTACAAAGGGATACGCCAAATGTATTGCAAAAGTATCAGTATAACATCATATGAATAAATTGTATTGCAAGTAATATAGTAAAAGATGGAAATATGATTTTATGTTACGGAGCTCATGTGATTTTAAATTTTGTGACATGATAAAAGAAACATATATTGTTCCAAACTTGATAAAACAACTTGTTTAGATTTATTGTTGTTTTTTTCTAAAAAAAATTGAATTGGGGGAGATAAATGTAATTTACAAGTAAATAACATTTTGACATAATTTAGCATGGAATGTAAACTTTAGGAGAGAAAGCAATTTGAGGGGCAAATTTAAAATATAATGATTTGGGGACTTGACGAAAGAGCAATTTGAAGGGCAAATTTAAAAGTAAATGATTTGAGGGGTAAATTGACAAGTTCCCATGACTTAACTGTATATATTCAAAAACCACTTTCAAAAATATACAGAAGCAATATATGTCAGATAAGTTATTTTCATAATATGCTACCAAAAAAATTCAGTAGACTTCTTTATAAGTAAAACCAACGTTAAACATGCTCAATAGTTAATAGACTCAATATGCAAAAAAAAAAATTCCCACTCACTGAAAACATAAGGCTGCAATCTAGCTTCTATTATAATAGGATATAAGCTACACATTGATATAACTTACGTTTAGGTAAAACGCTTTGTGCGAGTTCAACCTCCACAATGGTCAATGGCGACATACCACAAGCACGATAAAGCAAAACACTTAATTTAGGCCTTGCAACTTCATCCAATAAATAAACTCGCGTACGATAGTCAGGAATATAAAAACTACATTTCAAATTAATGCTGCTACATATGAGTATTAAATTATATCCCCAAGTCCAATTGTATTTTCCATGAACATACATATTTAAATTTCAATGTTTAAAAAGTCAACGTTCAACGAGCAAATATTAATCGCTGAATCATCGAAGAAGCCCATAAAGAACAGCTGAAGTAATGAATACTAGTACAGGTTCTTGACCACCTCAACAAACCTGAGAAGAGATACGGCTCATGTGCCATTCTCAATAGTTGAATCTCATAGGAGCAACAGCCTCTAAAATAGAGCAAATGCTCGTCGCTAAATTAGAATTTGCAGATCCGGCTTAAAGATTTCTTGAAATTGCAATAACACCCCTCAATTTACCAGAAGGCTGAAAGCCATTGCAAAGGAGATCTAAGAGAAGGCTGATAGCAAATACGGAGTTCTGATTTGTCTTCAAGATCTTGAGACAAACTTCTTGGATTTGATTATCAATTCCTAAAAGTTCAGTCTTGCCTTGGTACAAGCCTCGAAGATATCTCCATGGGCTTTAATTCTCATGGTTTGCTAAGATTGCTAAGATTGTATAAACTACCTCAGATTCTCGCATGGCTCGAAGGCCTCCTTGAAGTGGAGATCTTGAGATCACGAAGTACCTCTGTTACAAAATAGTAAGCGCACAAAGAATATTTGTCAGGTAAAAGCAAAAAAGGTAGAATCAAAGTCAGAAACGAAAAGAAAACAGATGCAAAGCACATAATCGAGTTTGAATATTACATGTGTGTCAATTATTGAGTTTGAATATTACATGCTTTCTTAACTTGACATATCTCGTACTATATATATATTTGAGACCAGCCTTGCTTTTGGTCATGTGTGTCAATTTTAAAACGCCCGGAACTATCCTCATAACTTAAATTTCTTCCTAACTCATCTGATGAACAAATTTGTAAAAATGCAAAAGTAAAAACAATAAGCAATGTTTTTAATAAGTTTAAAAAACATGTTCTACAGATCACGTGTTCAACTTTCAAGAATCCAAAAACTACCCCTGACCACTTAAAATCATTTTTGACGCTTATAAAAAATCCTTTTTAATTAAACTGAGGAACAAACGTAGCAAATTTTAAAAACAAATTTAGTAAAAACAGATGTTCCACGTACTTTTATGCAAAGTAGTTCATAATTTAAGAAGCAAAGTATAAATAGTTGTTATTGTAAAGATAATTATATACTAATACTTTCAGAACAAAACTGAATCCCACTGATAGCTAAAACCTTTTAGAGTAGTTGAAAAATAACTTGCACAATTGAAAGTCGCATCATAACTATGAAAAGTAACTTACGCAGTTGAAAACTGCAGTTGCTCCAGGTCCTACATCATAAGTAAACAGTCATTTAGACAAGTAAAATAACCACAAAGGGGAGGAGAAACACTAAAATCTACAAATGGTTCCTGAAGTAGTTACACGAGAAACAAATTCAAATATAAAATTGAAAAGAGGGTGAGAAAACAAAATGAAAATAATATATAAAAGGAGAAAATAATCCAGATTTTAATTTTGTAGGCTAGTGCAAACCTATTTCTAAATCATGCCATGGTTGAGCGCAGCAATATACTTTTTCGACATTGATGAAAGGATACACTCATTGAGTGCAACATGAGGGAAACTCGAGTGACCACTTCCTTCTCTACCACCCATATCTGAGGTCACAAACATAAGAACGATGTTATTTTTATTGCATAACATGAGCTACTGTGGTATATAACAGACACATTAATGCCAACTCTTAAGAATTCATTAGAAGGAAATGCTAATATTGTAGTCGTGTATTTTCCGCTACCTTCAGCAAGACACAGATAACACGAATACAACCAAACAATTGTAATATGTATGCCTTATGAATGAATGCAAAGTAATAATTGTAAACATTTTATTATATTCATGTTTACTTGCATCCTCAGAAAACATTTTCATACCAAATATGTACATCAATCATGAGAATAGCCAAAAACAACATGCTAGCCTCAGTATATTTCTGAGAATAGTGAAATAATGCAGCTATTAGTTCAATAAACTGAGCATATAATGCAACAGTTTTATAAGGAATTTAGTAACATCAAATTTTTTATTTCTTGTTGTAACCCATAGCATGTTGGAAATGTTGAACAGTAAGGACTTTCAAGCTTCTCACTTCAACTATCTATATCCTGCCTTATAGAAGGGGCTTTGTTCTACTCCGTAAAGGCATAACCTTCATGGCAGGAAGTTAACCTTGAGTGTTTTACAAAGGTACAATTTGTCAAACAAAAAAGTAGCAACAATGAATTTCAGGCCATCAAATGCTAGAAATAAATGAAAATTCTTTGAAACTGGATTTAGCACTCCTTTAACATGAGACAAACTGCATATATTTTAAAAAATTCCGTGAATAAGATATAATTCTTCAAGCATGAATAGTTTGTAGTAAAAAGGAAAAAAATTTGTGATGCAATGGTTTTGTAACGCTATACAGGTTATCCCTCATTTTGTGAAACAGAACAAACTTATCTCACTTCTAGCAGAGCTGTCAATCAAAACAAATGGTCTTATAGTAGGTGGTTGAATAGGAAGAAGTTGTAATATCATTCAATCCGGGCGATCATCTTTCGGTATGAAACCTAGTAGTATGCAATCTTCATTGATTATTCTTTTAAAAACACTGAGAACCTGGCCATGTCATAAAACAGAAACAAATAAATTTGGGCTACTAAAAGAAATAATTTACAATAACAATTTTGTAAAATAAGCTACCTTCTTTATAGAAAGCTATTGTTTCCTTTCAACAGGTTCAGGAAGTTGTGCTTGGTCATCATATATCTTGCAAATGACTCATCAACAATAGTTTGTGTGCAGTATAGATAAGTAAAAAATAGTTGACATGAAAATTTAAAGTAATAAAGTGAACTATTCTCTGAATATGTATTTATATTCACATTATGAGAAAATGTTAAATTATTAAATCTAGACGTAAAAGTGTATTACAAAATTGCACATCATTTCACACAATGTTTTAAAAAGATGACACGAAACAAAGGAGGCTTATTAGAAATTTACTAAAATACTATTAATGAGGAATATATTTCTTGTCCACGTTATGTGTGCATGTACTAAATTTGTAGAAAAAACAATAACTAACCCATTTCCATTTGAAAATACAAAAAAAATGACAGAATTTGTAGAAAAAAAAATTAATGGGAACACATAATGGCTCAGTATAGATAGGAAGCTACTTCACAACAGTAGATATAATGGCTCAATATAATTGAAGAAATGGGAGCACATGATGGTTTAGAATCAAATTCAACAGAAAGAAGTTAAGTCACGAAAACATATTCTCTTATAAGATAGACAAGGAACTACCTGGTGCATTTCATAGCCGACAAGGAATTAAACAAGAACTTAATAAAGTTCTACTTCTTGTTCATAGAAAAACATTCAGCAGGCATGTTCATAGAAGTAGGAAAGACGTTTGTTTACCATGAAAACAAATCAATAACCAAATTAACGAGTTAATAAATTTCTGACTTAATAAGTTTCTGCTCAAGAAAGTTCTCAGCAAGCCACCATTTCTACTTCACTACATTTTTGTGTGTAAACCACCTTATCTACTTCACTACGTTTTTGTGCGTGCGCGTGAGTAGAATTCATTTAAAGAAGCTGGGTAGGAACTCTGACGAAGTGCACTCCAAAGAAAAGGAAAGCTTCCATCATCACAGAGAAAAGAAGGCATAAATATGCCATCTTTTCTCGACTAAGAAGCAACATGGCCAAGTTATGGTTTTTAAGGTTTTATCAATGATATACTGAGGAGGTACCTGTAGTTCTAAATTTGTTCCTTAATAACTAGTCCTATGAAATATTTTATTAAAATGGGAGAAATATTTTGCAGCCACAGAAAAACGTTTATTGTGTTCTTAACAGATGCAGGGGTTAAATTCTTCTTGCATTCAAACAGCTGAGAACTGTGCTTCAGGTTTTTCTTCTTAAGGTGCGCCAACTTGAAGGACAAACTCATTATGACAATTAGACATTTTCTATCCCTGTAAATGTTTTGCAAGTTCTCCCTTCATTCTTCCGTCTCTTTACGTTTTTATTGTTAAAAAGTTTGTCCCCAGAATCTGCTGCTGCTTCATGCCATGCTGGTTCAAGCATAACTTAGAGGTTTTTTAATGCAACTATTATCTGCTTTACATGATATCTACATAGTAGACATTGCAAGTTCACGTATCATTAAGTTTACTAAATTGTGAATTCATCTCTAGATGTGTTTGGAGCATTCATTGTTCATATAGGATTCATAGATATGAACCTGTGTATATTTATGTTTTGCCCATAATATCTACTTTTTTTGCTCCTATTTATCTAAATGTTATCTCCTTGTGTACACAGTGGCTGTTATTTGCTCTATGAGCTGAGAAAAGCAAGTCCTAAATTGTTGACTCATGCTTAGTGAATATGGGTGATGAAGGTGGTGAGGATGGAGAAGAGGAGCATGGTGAGACCTTATGTTGCGCCTGTGGAGATAACTACGCATCTGATGAGTTTTGGATTTGCTGTGATATCTGTGAGAAGTGGTTTCATGGCAAATGTGTGAAGATCACCCCGGCTCGTGCTGAGCATATTAGGCAGTACAAGTGCCATTCTTGCACCGACACCAGCAGCAACAAGCGATTTTGTGGATCCTGAGAATACATTAGGGCTGTGGACAGGTTTGTGCTTCTAATGACTCTAACTTGTAACAATGCTCAGTTAGCTGTTCTTAATAGTTGGTCAGTCACAATCTGTATTTTTACGTTGTAGTTAATGTAGCATTTAGTAATGTATCAATGGTTAGCAAAACACCTAAGGTCTATTTTTCCTGCTGCTTTACGCTAGTTCCCTCAGAATCATCTTTATCTATTCATTATCAAGAGGTTCATATTATTATCTGTTTTATATCTGTTTTTTGGGTGCTAATCTGTTGGTGGCTTTACCATAGGTTCATGTTCTATTAGTGATTCTGAAGCAAACTTTTCAGAAATGTGGTGATTGATGCATGTGATGTTTGTTTATTAACATTTTATAGGTTGGTTAAAGTTGTAGCTAAGAATAACAGTAGTATAAAAATACAATACATGGGTTCAGCTAACTATGGATTGCATGTATATGGAGTTCTTACAGGAGAAGATGGATTGTGCACCAAAGTGAACTCATCCCTATTGAATAACATGTAACTATCATTTACCATTCAAATAAGCATCCATTTTGTGCATATAAATACAATTTGCTATACCAAAGTGAACTCATCCCTATTGAATAACATGTAACTACCATTTACCATTCAAATATTCATGTTACATGCAGATAGTGGTTTGTCTGTGCTGAATTACAATAGCATAAAGATGCAGAACAGGATTAGTATTTTTTACATGGGTACAATCATGGGCTTGGTCTAATGGTCAATACTAATGCTGCTAGATTACGAGAAGTATAGTCTTGGAGTTCAGCTAACTGCAGATTGTGAGTATTCGCGGAGTTCTTGTAGGACATGGGGTGTCCATAAGACTGTAATGAATCTATCCCTATTATATCACAAATAACTACCTTTTTACCATGCACTCCCTTGATCATTTCTCACTTAGATCACCTTTTTTCACTTCTATTTCCATCAAATTGCCTCAAGTTCATACTTGTTAACAAATCACAGATGTTCCTCTAGAAAATGAAGTTTCTTCAACTCATACCACAAAAAGAATCATCAAATCTCCACACCATCCAATATGACTACTCTTGTATGTGTAGTTATTTTGCCATTGTCATCAAAAAAGTTCCAACTAAAAGCTTCAGCCCAAAGTCAGGGTTAGAATACGATGGTCTTAATTCAATACTCGTTAAACTTCTAGGACAGTAAACCTAAATTTTGTCGTACAATTAATCATATATAGACCACCAGTTTAACATCATATAGAAATCTAATGACCAAAGTATCATACTTAGAAAGGCAAATAGAAGATTCGAGAGGGCGAATCCTATGAGCAAGAAGATGCACGAACACGTAGAAAAGCTAGGAAACTTGCAATCTTTTTTCTTATTAAAGGATTTGTAATAGTTTTAATTTTAATATATTTTAATGTTACAGGCAGTGTCAGCTTATATACTACTTCCTTCAGTTGATCATACTCCTTTTAAAAGAGGGAGTTTGTGGAAAAACTTTTCAAGGACTATATTACCCCTATTCTTTTTTAATATTACATTCTAATACTAGCTAAACTAAATTAATTATCATTGTTAATTAATTATATTATATATCACTTTAAGTTTGTATAATTTGGTCCCTAAAACTTTCAACATTATTGTAAAACTATACATCATATTAATTATTAGTAATGTATAATAATAATTGCATGTCAATAAAATATTTATAGAAAGAGTAAAAAACATAGAATTGTCCTAAAATTCTAAAATTATACTATGAAACTTATATAGAAAAATTACAAAGAGCATTTTTATGTTTAGATAACAGGAAGAAGGTATAAATATTAACTTTTAGACAATATTAGGATATTTAAGTGAGCAAGATACGTTATCTAAAATTTTAAAAAAAAGTGCAGAAAGATACAAGTGGAGGTATATAAGTATAATTTTGGTAAACTATAAGGTATTTAAGTTCAGTTAAGACAATAAAAGATTTGAGACCTTTGTTATCTACAAACAATAGTATATGATCCCATTGATAAATAATACTCATCATACAATATGAGGTCAGATGCTTAGCTTATATTTATATAGTAGAAGAGATGTGGAAAAATTAAAGCATCATATTTTGAATGAGTCTCAAGATTTTAAATTATTTCATGAAAGTATATACTTCTCTTAGAAAACTTTAGAAGAGGCTTTGGAAGGTCTACTACAAAATATTAGACATCAAATGAATATTGAACAAATAAATCCATGATATCAGATTGTAAAAATTAGGAATATGTATGTAATACTAGGTGTCATACAAGATTATATTCATACATAACATGACATTGTAATATCTAATCTAATATATTAATAAATTTTAAACATAAGAATTTGCATCAATACTATGACGCCCTTGGTTTCACACAAGGCTGTAGTCTAAGGTGAACTCAAAGATGTCAAACATGTCATGCACCCAACACTGTTCAATAAAATATTTCACTATCATAGTAATATCTCTCTATTAGAATCAAATACAAGAAGTGATGGTACAAGCAGATATAGTAAAGATGATAATACAAGGAGCACAATATAGAGGAGAGATCTAATAACATTTATAATTATGTTCCAACAAAAGAAAAGAAGTGCATCTAATAAACCAAAATAAAGATAATGAATCTCTAATACAAAAGAGTCAACTGAAAAAGTATATAGACACTCAGCCTCTAAAATGAAGTACATCCCTATAAGACTAAAAACAATAAAATATCCATTGTGGAGTGCCTACTAACTATCTACTAATAAATGATGGCAAACTATGCCGAGTCTCCGTCAACCTGTGACTTTCCGAACCCCTGACTTGCTGCCTAAAAAAGATGGAAACAACGAGCGTCAAATCACTAACAAGAACATCTCCACCGTCCCCAGGGAAAAATGGGTAAGGTGTATAAAAATACAAGTTATAGCATATATAAATATATAAATATACTACATCCTGAACTAAGAGGAATTAATATTTAGAAACTCACAACATGAGAATGAGTACGTTGAGCGAAATAATCCAAATAAGAAAACCCTCATATATATACCATGTATCTCAAATTGTGGATCACTAAATATTAACTCCAAAATCCTATGAATAAAATAATTAACAAAGAACAATACATTACCAAGCCTCATCCATAACAAATCATATCATAACGACTCATATTTTCCTCGGGTAGTTGGCTGGGAACAAAAATAAATATTCGGTAAAAGATCTTTTCTAGGATACATAGTACATAACAAACCATAACCTTATACTCTACCCTCAAGGTAGGTAACACGGGAGCAAATTTATAATTTTATGTGATTCATTACCTTACTCGAACACCCTACGAAGTATAGGCATATCAGCCTAATCCGAAACCACTGCTAGAAAATGAACTATTACCGACGGTCCTTTAGCGACGGAATTTTCCGTCGCTATAAGTTAGGTTATAGCGACGGAATTTTCCGTCGCTATTTTTCCGTCGGCAAAAAAGTTTTACCGACGGAAATTTCACTATTGGCGACGGAAAATTTCCGTCGCCATTAATTTCCTGACATAATTTTTTTTTCAGGAAATTTCCTGACAAAATTTCCGTCGCTTTTTTTTGGGTTTTAGCGACGGAATTTCCGTCGCTAATTTCCGTCGCTAAAACCCAAAAGTTAGAAAAAATTTGGGCGCGGGCGTGCCCAAAAATTTGGGCAGCCCGCGCCCGAGAGAGGGATTTTCCCCCAAATCCCTCTCTCATTTCCCCCTCTCTCTTCATTTCCCCTCCCCTAGCTCCCTCTCCTCATCCCCCCTTTCTCTTGTTGGCTTCTCAACCGCCGCCGCCGCCTACTGGGCACCGTCGCCACCTGCTGGACCACCGCCTCCTCCGATCCCTCGTCGACGACGGTTTCTCCGGCGATGTTGGCACCATCGAGGCTCGCTGGAGGGTTAGGAGGAGCTTGAGCTTGGTGGGGTTTTTGGTTGCTTGTGGAGTTTCGGGGTTTCTTGCGGCGGTGGCGGTTTGTGGGAGGAGGGAGCTGGCTGAGGTTTGTGGGCCTAGGTTTTGGGGAAGGGAACATTTGGGAAGGCCTATAAGGCCGTGCTTGAAATAGGAATGGTGGTGGCTGTGAAGAGACTGAAGGATGTGAATCTGAGTGCGAGGGAGTTTAAGGAGACATTTGAGGGGATTGGGACTATGGATCATCCTAACTTGGTGCCTTTGAAAGCTTAGGCTTCGTCGGAGAAGGTAAAACGATGAACTCTTCGGCTACGGCGGAGAGGAATTCGTAACCGATGTGTGAAATTCCCGATGTTAATGACGAATTTTCTGTAACGGTGGGAGAAATTAGGTATATCTAATTTGGTTGAAGGTTAATTTGGGAATGGGGTTTACAATTCACAATGATTATTCTTATAGTGTAATTTTTTTGCCATGTAACTTGCAGGATCATTATTGTCTTGAAGACAACCCAGAGTCTTGGGATTATGTTATCCCGAAAATGGCCAAGCTTATTCGGGGTTGGAAGAGTGATCTAAAGAAAAGATATTTCACAAATTTATCTACTGATTGGAAGATGATCTATGAGCTTGATAAGAAAGTTCCTCCATTTAATTGGATGACTCTCATTATCGAGTGGGAGGGTGAGAAGAAGGTAGTTTATTTTTAATTTATGACATTATCATCACGTTATTTTTCATTTATATATTATCATCGCACATACTAAAAAAATACTTTATTTTGTAGAAAATATGTGAAACGGCATTGGCGAATCGTAGATCAAAGCTATACGATCACTTTTTAGGAGCTACTTCTTATGCTCAGATCGAGCATAAGTATTTGAGCGAAAACCCGGTATGATCATATTATTAAAACTGATTTCATGTGATTAGTTTCCTACATTTAATTTGGAATTTAATATATCACAGGACGCTTTGACTATGCCCCCGACTCTTCTGGCTAAAAGAGCTTATACACCACCCTAGGGCTATGAAAATGTTGATGGAAATGACAAAATGGTGGAGAAAATTAATGAATTGAACGTAAGTATAAGATTAATTTTACATTTGTATATACTTAATGATTTTTCATCAAAGTTTCTAATTTTTATGATATATGATATGCAGGCGGCGCTAGAAGCTTCTCAAAACGATGTCTTCACCCGTGTCACGCAGTCTCGAAGTACAGAGGACACTCCTGTAGAGCCTAACCGCATGACCAGAGACGAGTGGATGAAAGTTGTCGACGGAGCTTACGGTTTACACTCAAGAAAGAAAGGAAGAGTGCCTCTGTCAAGTACTAGAGTTAAGACACTCACCACCACCAATAAGCCTAGCAGCCAATCTGTGACATCGACGCGACACAGTGACACTGTTTGCGTCAAAAGTTGGTCTCGTTATGGAATTCATTATATCTTCAGTCGATTATAATAAATTCAAAGGAATAGTCTTTTTATAAGACCTCTTTTACACAACAAAATGAAAATTACAACTTCTTAGAAACAAACGCAGGATCGTTGTTTGGATCGTTGCTTGCGTGGGACTTTGCCTGTGCCGGGAGCGCTTTGACTCGTGGACCACCGAATCACAGATTCTGATTGAACCGTGAGGGGTTTAATGATTCTTCCTTCATTTATCGAAGTAAGAATTTGAAGTAATCTGCCCCCTCCTCTCTTGGATGCCCTCTAATCAGCCCCCCTTGGATGCTCTCTAATCAGCCCTCTTTTGTAACCGCCGTCCCACTACTTAAATACCATCTTTTTATGAGGTTAGTGGGCATGATTTTCGCTTGTAACTGCTTCCCCCACGTTCATAAGTGACCCCCAGCAGTTAATAAGCCATGTGGACTGCACAAAACTCGAGAAAACTATCAAAAATGACGTGTTCAGCTTCCCAGTGGCCGCGACAGTACGTGGTGTCGCGCATTGCCGCGGCAGTTACCACTGCCGCGCACCTCTTGAGTATTTTGGCTCTAACTTTCTCGTCCAATGTCGGAATGAGGTGATCCAAGATGCGTTGGAAAGCTGACGAAGAGATCTACAACTTTTGTCTTTTGAACTTCTTCATATTTGGATCATATCATAGCTTAAATGTGTAATATATTACCGCGGTAGTATACACTGCCGTGCACCTCCGATGTAGTTTGCGACCTCTCGGGTATTTTGGCTCTAACTTCCTCGTCCGATGTCAGAATGAGGTGATCCAAGATACGTTGGAAAGCTATCGAAGAGATCTACAACTTATCATTGGCGCTTCACTCTGTTTATTTGCGCGACACCTTGTACTGTTGCGCTATTGCCGCGGCAGTGTACACTGCCGCGCACCTTCGGTGTAGTTTGCGACCTCTCGGGTATTTTGGCTCTAACTTCCTCGTCCGATGTCGGAATGAGGTGATCCAAGATGCGTTGGAAAGCTATCGAAGAAATCTACAACTTCCCATTAGCGCTTCACTCTGTTTATTTGCGCGATACCTTGTACTGTCGCACTGTTACCGCGGCAGTGTACACTGTCGCGCACCTTCGGTGTAGTTTGCGACCTCTCGGGTATTTTGGCTCTAACTTCCTCGTCCGATGTCGGAATGAGGTGATCCAAGATGCATTGGAAAGCTATCGAAGAGCTCTAAAACTTCCCATTAGCGCTTCACTCTGTTTATTTGCGTGACACCTTATACTGTCGCGCTGTTGCCGCGGCAGTGTACACTGCCGCGCATCTTCGATGTAGTTTGCGACCTCTCGGGTATTTTGGCTCTAACTTCCTCGTCCGATGTCGGAATGAGGTGATCCAAGATGCGTTGGAAAGCTATCGAAGAGCTCTAAAACTTCCCATTAGCGCTTCACTCTGTTTATTTGCGTGACACCTTGTACTATCGCGCTGTTGCCGCGGCAGTGTACACTGCCGCGCACCTTCGATGTAGTTTGCGACCTCTCGGGTATTTTGGCTCTAACTTCCTCGTCCGATGTCGGAATGAGGTGATCCAAGATGCGTTGGAAAGCTATCGAAGAGATCTACAAATTAACATAGGCATATCACTCTGTTTGTGTGTACAACACCTTCCACTACCGCGCAAATGCGCGTTAGTGTTTCTTGTCGTGGGTGTTCATATTGTTCTTCTATGTTGTTTCACATGTTCCTTTGCTTCTTTTGGCTTTGGATGATTTCCTCTAACTTAGATTGGGATATATTCATATCTATAGGTATTTTTATACGTCTACAGATATCCCCTTCAAAGTATCTCAGATTCATTCTTTTATAGAGGAGTCTGGGACACTTTGGATAAGATAAGTCTTATTTGCAATCCCTTCAGTATTTAGTTGAGAAGATCGTGTAGAAGGACCTGTGAATGGCTTCAACTCTTGACTTCTTTATCTTTTAGTCTACTCAGTGCTTTGTAGAATAGCTAAAATTCTTCCGGTGCTGCGTTTATTGCTTGACCGTTGTCAAAGTCTTGAACTGAAACTGATGTTTTGATTTGTGAATTAGCTCTTGTCGTTGAACTGATGTTGAACTGATTGTCTTCATTAGGAATTCATATCTGGATCGCAATTGAATCCCCTGAGATCATCCGTTGGACTTTTTTCCTTAGCTTTATTTTGGCGAAAATCATTGGCGCGTTGACAGGCGTTAACACAGTTTATCCTCGTGTGTTTACTGGAGTCTACATAGTTTAAGCTCTTAAGACGTTGGAGCATAGCGGTCCTGAGTGTCGAGGCTGCAGGACCAATTATTCAGGTCGGTTCATCTGTAGGTATGGATTTTATCCTGAGTTTGTCGAATACTCAAGTCACGAGACCAACTAATGAAGCTGGTGCGTCAGTGATTATCGCATTTATAGGATTTTTGGCAAACCCTCAGCCATCAACGGGTTTGATGAGCCTTTACCGATTACCGTTTGAATCGGGCTAGCATACAGATTGTTTAAGTTCGTTCTGCATGTAACGTTGTGCTAAAAGAATAAACTCTCTTAGACTTGGTGCTATGATGTTGAATACCTAGGCTTGGTCGTTTTCGCGGGAACGGACCACCCGACAACGCGTATTAGGCGTAGGTTTATCTCTAATAAGGGATCGAGATAAAGTCCCCCATGCATCAAACATGGATTTGGAAATGTTGATGGGTTACGTCTTTTTGGTGAAAAGATGAACCCGATACTGGAGAGGAAGAATTTTATATTTTATTTCCTGGTCTCTTGTTTGTTGGTAGAGATAAACCCGAAATCGAAGAGGAAGAATTTTATATTCTATCTCCTTGTCTCTTTTTTGTTGGTAGAGATAAACCCAGAATCGAAGAGGAAGAATTTTATATTCTATCTCCTGGCGTAAAAGAAACTCAAAGTGGGATCTCCACTTTGAGAATCTAGACTGGTTTGAATAATCCTAACTGTCATAAGGTTTGATTATTCAATTCAAAAGTAGACCTCTCGTTCGTGAAATGAATCGAAAGGGGATTTTGGTTGTGGTCCTAACTGTAGTAAGGTTTGACCAAGTGGGAGTTTTGAGACAACCCTAACTGTGGACCTCTCGTTCAGTGAAGGAATCGAGAGGGGATTTTGGTTTTGGTCCTACCTGTTTAAAGGTTTGACCAAGATGGGAATTTGATACGATCCTAACTGTTTAAAGGTTTGATCGTTCAATTTGTGGACCTCTCGTTCATGGGAGGAATCGAGAGGGGATTTTGGTTTTTTGGTCCTAACTGTTTAAAGGTTTGACCAGATGGAAGTTTTGAGACGACCCTAACTGTAGGAAGGTTTGATCGTTCAATTTGTGGACCTCTCGTTCATGAAAGGAATCGAGAGGGGATTTTGGCTTTGGTCCTAACTGTTTAAAGGTTTGACCAAATGGGAATTTGAGATGATCCTAACTGTTTAAAGGTTTGATCGTTCAATTTGTGGACCTCTCGTTCATGAAAGGAATCGAGAGGGGAGTTTGGCTTTGGTCCTAACTGTTTAAAGGTTTGACCAAATGAGAACTTGAGACGATCCTAACTGTTTAAAGGTTTGATCGTTTAATTTGTGGACCTCTTATTCATGGGAGGAATCGAGAGGGATTTTGGCTTTGGTCCTAACTGTTTAAAGGTTTGACCATGTGGGAGTTGAGACGATCCTAACTATTTAAAGGTTTGATCGTTCAATATGTGGACCTCTCGTTCATGAAAGGAATCGAGAGGGGATTTTGGTTTTGGTCCTAACTGTTGGAAGGTTTGACCAAATGGGGACTTGAGACGATCCTAACTGTTTAAAGGTTTGATCGTTCAATTTGTGGACCTCTCGTTCATGGAAAGAATCGAGAGGGGATTTTGGCTTTGGTCCTAACTGTTTAAAGGTTTGACCATGTGGGAGTTGAGACAACTTTCGTTACACAAACCATCCACCCCCAGCTTTCTTCGCGAAACTGGGTCTGACATCATACTGAGTTACATGACCGGGTTATCCTTAAGAATATTACATGTAAAAATTCTCCAGGAACTTTCCGTCAAGAGTGGGAAACAGTTTAGACTCATATACCTATTGGAGTATCGAGGAGCAGTTTATACTCGTATACTCTTTGGAGTGTTGAGAAGCAGTTTATACTCGTATACTCTTCGGAGTGACATGAAGAAGCAGTTTATACTCGTATACTCTTCGGAGTTAGGGAAAACAGTTTATACTCGTGTATCCAATGGAGTATTGAGAAGCAGTTTATACTCGTATACTCTTCGGAGTGACATGAAGAAGCAATTTATACTCGTATACTCTTTGGAGTTAGGGGAAAACAGTTTATACTTGTGTATCCAATGGAGTAAGAGTCGTCTTTACTCGGCTTGTTTCACCGTTATGACGCCGGAGTCAATTAAGGCTTGGATTTTGTTTTTGAGTCCAAAACAAACCTTAGTGGGATGAAGAACCCTTCTGTGGTATGCACAGTAGTTTGGATCTGTAATCATCTTAGCACCCTTCTGTGGTTAGCAATTCTCTCATTTGTTGAATAGCTAACTCCATCTCTGTCTTCATCTCAGCTCTAATTTCTTCACGTTGCTTCGCTAGAGCTTCTTGAAGCATTTGAGCAAATTGATCAGAGGTGATCGTGAGTACTTCTCTGGTTTGTCCCGTGCTAGACATTGTATCATCAGAAGCGATTGCAGAACAAGTGTCCGAGAATTCATCCTCCAAGGACATTCCTTCTTGCATTCTTTTGTAATCTCTGCGTCTGATGGCCCCTAATTGGAATCGAGACATCCTTTGAACAATTCTTGGATTGA